TTTTGTTTTGATGATTGCTGATAAATTGTTAAAACATCAATAATTGATGGTATTAAAATTTGTATCAGCAGATATTCGATGTCGTTAATTCTAAGTCATATTTATTATCACTCTTACAGTTTTTCTTTTATTTTCCTTCTAAAACGATCTCAATCTGTATTAACTTTAATCTGAGCTCAAAATTTGTTCTCAGATAATTTGTGAATATTGTTGAAATATTCATTTCAATGTTAACATTTGTTGACTTAAAAATCGTTGCAATAAAGAGTTCAAAAAGATGAAAATAGAAAAATACATCAGAGATAAGCTGAAGTATTTTGGACAACGAATTTGCTAAATACATTTATTAAACAGTGAAGATCATAAAAAAATTATATGGTAGACAAATTAATTGTTTCAAAAAAATTTCTCATGTAGTATTGGTTTGATGGGCAGTTTGTTTACCATTTGTAAAAAATATTCCGCTGTACAGAAGTCATTTGTACATTATATCTGACTAAAATACAGTGTAATGAATGTTCAACAGTATCAGTCATTCGGCGTGTAAAGTAATACGTCAAAAAACTTTGTCTGACATCGGGTATTCAAAGAAACGATTATAATTCACATCCAAAACAGTTAAGTGCTCTACAGAAAGCAAATAATTTGGTTGCGGATATAGTGTTATTCATCGTATGAAATCCACTCTTTTTGATACTGCAAAAAAAAAGTGAAAATTTTTTTCTTGTCTCACATTTTATTCACTGATAGCTAAGCTTTACTTAACGTACTGTATATGGTAATAGAACAGCAATAAAATGCTTTGAAGATTATTTATTAAAACCAATTTAACCACAATAAGTAAAACTTGAAAACGAGAGATGAATTGGTCGTCTTTCAAGGAGCCACCTTGAAAGTTTCTTCAAGCTTATTGATAGTTATACGATACATTTTTGCCAGTTTTTCTTCAAACAAATAGCCGACAGATACTGCTGGAGCCTTTATCGTGTGTCGAGAGGGAAGAGTAGGCGACTGTTGCTGATACAGCTAATTGACAATTTACATTAATAAAGGACTTAAAAGAATTCCTTGTTTTGTTTAGAAATGCTTATAATACTATATCAAAAACCTTTAAATTTTCTGTAATTAGTACCTAGAAACTTTCTTTTAATAAACGGTATTACTATTTCTTCATTGAATAACTTTGAAATTCAGTTATGCTCTCAAATAGGTGTTAATGTTTTTGATAATTTTGAGTTAACTTTATATCTAAATTAGTTTACCCAATTTTGTTTGCTTCTTCGCCTGACTGCAAACTATTGAAACGTGATATTTCGACCTCAGTTTTTAAAGCTTAGTTAAGTTAAACTACTCGAATAATCTGATTATTTTCCAACTGTCAACTTGAACTCCCCAATCACATCACATTTTTTGAGGTTTTAGTTTTCAGCACGTTGAGCTTAGTTTTGCATTTGCTTACTCTAATTAATTCCTTAATTTCAAGGTTGAAAAACTACATCTTTCAAATGTCGTTTGATAATAGAGAAAACAAGCAAGTAAATTATAGCGTTCAGCAGCTAAACAAGGCTCAAAAAAAATTGAGTACTTGTCAGAAACAAAACTAAATTTAAACTAGAGTTATCGAGAAGTGTGGATATATATTTTTTCTACTTTTGCTGAAATACTGAAGTTAATGCAGTCATATAGGTTTTAAATTTGGTAAAATAAGTCAAAAAACTAGTT